ACATGAGTGGCTAGCCAGGTGAATGGACACGGGGACATGGCAGGAGGTGGCATGAGAAGATTCAGCAAGGAAGACAAAGGAGAAGAACGAGGCTTGCCGTACACTGGGATGGTATAAAAGCCCAGAAGTTTCTTTGTCTGAGATCCCTCCTAGGAGACACTAGCCCAGGCTGCTTCTGCATTTTACACTGTTAATAAACTGCTTTATGGGACAAAGTGTCTGGGACTTGGGGTCAAACCAGAAAGCAAATCTGGTCTGATTGTGAGCCAGCTGTGCAGGGAGTCAAATGGGGCACCTGTCGGATCACTGGAGCTACCCGCAGTGACGGAGCTTTGGTCCCAGAAGTTAAAGTCTCTGGCACTGGGAGAGTGACTGTCAGAGAGCCTCGTGAATGGTCAGACTGGGAAGTTTCCATAACAAAACCCAGGTCATTCTATGATTTACTCACAAGTTTGCAGACACCCAAGCAGCTCAAAACCTCAAAAGTGCAAACAAGAAACAAATACATGACAACAGCAACTTCCATTCATGTTTAAATATTGAGATTCTTTGTATTTATAGAAAATACAGATCCTGTCCCTCCTTCAGCACTAGACTCATCTGCAGATCACTGATCTTTCCTCATTACCCAGGTGCTCCTTGAAACTGTTGCTGCCTTTGTTCCATAAAGCAGTTTATTAACAGTGTAAAATACAGAAGCAGCCTGGGCTAGTGTCTCCTAGGAGGGATCTCAGACAAAGAAACTCCTGGGCTTTTATACCATCCCAGTGTAATGCAAGCCTCGTCCTTCTCCTTTGTCTTCCTTGCTGAATCTTCTCATGCCACCTCCTGCCATGTCCCCGTGTCCATTCACCTGGCTAGCCACTCATGTTCAAGCCTTTTGTTATGCAAAGAGTTGGCAGTTCACTGCCTCCTGTGTTGATCCCACCCACAGCTCAATTTGCACCTCAACCTGTATCTCTTAACTGCAGCTTACAAATCAGCTACCTGCACCAGATGTATTCCTCTGTAATTGGAAAGGACCTTAAAAGATCAAGTTCCATCTTCCTCCCTGCTTTGAACAGGTCACCATGAGAACAATCAGGTCACCATGAAGCCACCTCTTTTCCAGACTGAACAATCCAAATTCTCTCAGCTATTCCTCATAGGTGTGGTCTTCCATCCCTCTAATCAACTTGTGACCCAACTCTGGATTTGCTGTAACAAATGTCCTTCCTATGTCCTTCCTATGTTGTGGGTTCCAGAGCTGGATGCAGTCCACTAGGCAGGGTTTCACCAGAGCAAAGGAGGGGCTATGATGGGTTGACTTTTGCTGGACACACAGATTTATAAATTTTCATTACCTGCTCTCCCCTGTCCTTTCACAGATCAGTATTATTTTCCCATCTCAAGAGCATCCTCCACCTCCAGATGTCTAAAATCAGGCCATGACTTGGGCTAGATTCCATCAAGATGGGTGCTCAAGACAGGAAAAACAGCACACTTAATTATTTGGCACTAGTGTTGGCCCTGTGCCTCCCACTCTCCTTATTCCTCAGAAAATTCATGCTTTATCAGTTAATGTCATTTTTGCTGTTTTACTTTTGCAACATACAACTTACACCACAAATTATTTTCCCCCCAAGGGTAAATCTCCTTGGAGCACACACCAGGTCTCCCCATCCTTCTGCATTACCCACAAAGTACACCCAGGTATTTGGACAAGACAATCATATAAATAGGTTTGCTTTTTCCTATAGGGAGAGAAATATACCCTGATTTTCCCAGCAACTTCCCATGTATAGTATGGGGACCTTATCTCCTCGCATTGTGTAGGGATTTTGTCTGGGCAGGACCAGGGAGGTTTGCAGATCCTCTGGTATTAATGAGCCAAGTGGCTTCTGTTAAATATACATCCAAATCCTTCATGCCCCATTGCCTAACACTCGTAACATAGTCTTCAGCAGTCTATTATACCTCACAGTCTTTCCAGAGGCTTATGGGGTGTATGTCAATACCATGTTTCTTTTACCAAGAGTTTATTGGGTTGTTTTGAAGAAGAGTGCTGTTGTCTGATTTGATTCTCTCCGGGGTACCATGTTGCCACAAAATGTGTCTCTCAAGACCTGAGATGGTGTCATGAGCAGAGGCAGTGGTTTACAGGGTATGTTGCCAGCCAGTTGTTGCCTCTACTATGGTGAGTATGTAATGCTAGCCTTGGTGTGTTCATGGCAGTGGTCTGATTTGCCAGGCCTCACCATACTGGAAACTCAGCTGCTGCCCTCTATTCCGAGGAAAGTTTACTTCAGTGGCTTGGTTGATTGCAGCACGTGCTTCTCATTCAAGAGTGATCTGTGCAATTGCCTCCATAGTAATCCTCTTCATTGTTTTGACATTCTTCAGTGGTGTGGATTTTGGGCATGATGTACCTTTCCAGTCATGTTTTCGACCTGTGCACTGATGTCCTGCCCCAGTGCAGGTGCAGTCCAGCCCAGACTGGTTTATCCCTGCGTTGACAATTGATCTTCCATTTTTGCAGCCACCTCCATAGGGCATGAGCTACCATCCAGGAATCAGGATAGAGACAGGTCACTTTTCTTGTTCAGCAGTCTCTGAGGCTAGTTTGGATGGCTTTCACCTCTGCAGACTGCCTTCTTGACTTGCCTTCTCCTTCAGCAGCCTCAATGACTTGTCTGATGCTGCCATGCAGCAGGATCCATCACTAAATAGGGCATAACCTCTTTCTGGTAACTTGTTATGTGGGGGTGCTTCTTGTGCACAAGTCTTCTCTGGCAGTGCTCCAAAATCTTTGCCTTCTGGCCAGTCCATGATTTTTTCCAGAATTCCCAATTGAGCTCATGTAATCAATGCTACCCTTTACTTCATGTAGCACTGGCTGTGTGATATGTTAAAGGGATGTTTCCTTTGAAATATGGAGAAGTATTTTCCAATTATTTTTAAACCTTAATTTTAATATTTAATTTGTTAGTAAAAAATTGTTTATGGTAGCAGTGTTTAGCTGTACACCCTTTTCCTACCAAAGGTATAATTAACGTTTTTCTATATAAACATTTACAGTTAGACAAGTCAGTCTTTGATGACAATCACTGATGGAAGTCAGTTACTTTCTTTGGACGTTATGAAACAAAGTTCTGGAGTTGAGCCAGTCCAGCAATTGCTCAGGGATATGAGAAATTTATATCCTGTAGAATCCTGCACTAAAGGCAAAGACAACATGCCATCAAGAAGTCAATCCAGCAGTTCAGAAAAGTAC